GGTCTGGTCCTAAGACCGAGCCCTGTACCACTCCCCCACTCAGCTCTTCCATGATCTCTCCTATAGTTGTTTCAAATATCAAAAAACGATCACATAGGTAATCACTTATGATACGGATGTGATTCTCAGAAACACCTATTTCGTACGTATAAGTCCATTTTGCGGAATTAAATGCATTTTTGACGTCAAACGTCATCATCATGTACACCTCCTGTTCCCCGACCAGGCAGCCCTATCAAATGTAAAGCGCTTCGGAAATGGCACCAATTGTACTGTCTCAGTCGATTCCTTACAAGGCAGATATATCTCGAAAATATTTCCTGCTGCGTCCAACATACAAAGTGGCCTGTAGGATGCAGGCGAGTAGGGCGGCCCTTTTCCTTTATCTAACAGGGTCAAGCTTTGCAACTTCCATCTATTCGGATAAACTCCCGCCGAGATGCAAACGTTTGTAAGTGTCAATGAGCAGATGTTTAGATATTAATTAATAGAGTTCAGAGAATCCCGAGGAATCTCTCTCAACAGAGGATTCAAGCGTAAAGGGATAAGCTATCGATGTATCCGGAACAACGTCCGTGTATCGCAACTCAACTTTATCGAGCAATACACCGCTCTGCGGCGTAGCACCCCAAGATCGGTCGAATGCTGACAAAGCACTTCACCGTTACGGCTGAAACCACATTCAGTGGATTATCAGCGTGATTCGACACGAGGTTAGGGGCTTGCGTCCGCCAGCTGGTCGTAAATCAGATCCGTTCAAGTGTGCTAGCTTTACGCCATTCACGCCAAACAATGCTGTATGGGGGACGTGACTTTCGTTCTTGTCGCGGAGGCGACGGAACTCATCAGTTGCGCGATAAGCTCAAGAGTCACTCTCAACAGAGGATTTAAGGGTAAAGGGATAAACTGTCGATGTATCCGAAACAACGTCCGTATATTGCAGCTCAACTTTATCAAGCAATACACCGCTATACGGTGTAGCACCCCAAGAGGGGTCGAATGCTGATAAAGCACTTCGCCGTCTAGTGGTATTACCCACTACTGAAGAGATCCAGGGGATCGAAACGGTCACAAGAAGTTCGCCTTACGGCTGAAACAACATTCAGCAGATTATCAATGTGATTCGGCACGAGGTAGGAGCTTGCGCCCGCCGACTGGTCGTAGACCAGGTCCGTCCAAGTGTGCTGGCTTTACGCCATTCACGCTAAACAATGCTGTTTGCGGATGTGACTTTCGTTCTTGTCGCGGAGGCGACGTAACTCACCAGTTGCGCGATAAGCGCAAGAGAGCAAAATGTAGTAGCATGGCTGCGACACAAAGCGATGTAGTAGCATGGCTGCAACGCAAAGGAGTGGAGACTACATGAAATTATTGAAATCAGAACTAATACAATTAATAAGGTGAGATAAACCATGTAAACCATTGTACGATTGATAAATTAGCTGAAAATAACGGGCATGAAATTGTAAGACTACCACCATTCCACTGCCAATACAGTGATATTGAATTAATTTGGGCCCAAATCAAAGGTTAAATTAAATGTTTTAAATGAAAACATATTAACTCAACCTAAACACACACGAGCTGAAAATAGCTCATGCTTTTACAGGCTACGCAGCATGACACAACACCAAGCCACCTTTCACGGTGAAGTAGATGGAAGGTTTACCGAAGGAAGTCCATGTCAGAAAGGATGATTGGGCAAATATTTGTAATGAAATTTTATTCATCTCATTTCAAAAGTGCTGGAGAAAACAAAGAAAATTATTATGGATGACTTTGAAAGAGACTTTCATTTTGATTACGTTATTGAAAATTAAATGATAATTAATTTAAACAACGACAGCTCAAGTAGTTGCAGTGATAGGGATTGAGTTAAATTTATTTTTTATATAGTTTCAATCTTAATTTTTTATATTTTTGCCTTTAGAAATAAATACAAAGAAACACATAAATTTTCTATTTTAAATTATCCGTTTCTAATTTACTCTGGTACTAATCGAAACCAAACTGTAAATGATTACCAACTCTAAAGAATCGTCATCGATTTTTCTTAAGAGGGCGTATGCGTTTCGCGTCGAAAACTACATGTTTTATGGTTTTTCCAAAGGCGATATCGTAACGACGTGAGGAGATTATTTGCTGAAAATTAGGGCTTTAGAAAGATGAAGTCTTTATTTAGTACATAGCAATGCAAAATCATAGTTTTTAATGACAGTTATTTAGGGCGAAGACAATCCCTTCACAGTGTTTTACGAAAATATGCATCAGAGTTATCTTTCAGGTTGAATACAACCATTATTATAAGCTAAAATACTTTATTTTAAGCGTTATTATAATGGAATATATAGTTTTTTAGTATATAGCAAAACCTAAATTACGAAAATATTTCGATTTAATATTATAAAATAATATTATAAAATCACCAAAACTGTCTACTTCAATGTAATTTTTTTCATGTAGAGTTCATAAGATATTTGCTTATAAACATATCTATTTTAATTATTTTATCAAAATACATGTAATGTTAAATATCCAAAAAAAATTTAGCTCGTTTTATTGTGTCAATTATTTTATATAATTATTTTAAAAATACTATAAAAGATCATGCGCAGGCACCGTTCGATTCAGTACGCTTCGGGTATCACTTTTTCTCACCGACACCGCGCGATCGCGTTGATACACCGATAGGGATATACTACACTATACTATAACTGGCTACCTATAGCACATCGCGCATTTTAAACGATTGAGACTTTTATAAGCGATATTTTTGGTAGTAAGTAATTTTGAAATATGTTTATGATTGTAATATGTAAATATTAAATGATGTAATGGTGACAAATTTTCATTTCATACATATTTTTTTAGAAATGAGTAATGAACGTAAGCAATCCGGATCAAGTAAAAATACAAAATCGTTGGCTTTCACCTTTGGCTCCGTGGCGGAGTGACTTGGTAATGAGTTGTAGCGCTGAACGCCGCAGGTTCGAATCCCACATTGAGCAAAAATTTGTATTACCTACAAATAATTGTTCCAGGTCTGGATGTTTGTCTTTGTGAAATTAATGTATTTAAACTGCCCCAACGATGTACTTAGGAAAAATTCCTAGTGCGGAGATAACGTTATGATTAAACAAAGACATGCCATCAAAAACATAACTTTGTCAACATCAAAAACATGACATTGTCTCACTAGTCGAAAAAAACCACAAAAGTTTTAAACAGAATTATATTAAAATGAGTGATTTGAAAAATTCAAGGACTGCAAAAAAAAACAAATACTTCAAAAATGTTTTAATTTGCTTAAAATGAAAAACAAAATCAGTTTTTACGATGTTTGGATGAAAAGTTATTCGTTTATGAGATCAGACCCGAATAATAATTATAAAGCACAAAAATAAAGTAAAGTTACAGTCACAACTTCTCGCATTACTCGCATGTGATATTTACACTTTACAGTTAGCGTTGACCATCTGAGCTACCACGGCTCTCAATAAAGCACAAAAAGGCTACAAAGAAACCTATATTTTGTAGTCATTGTAGTTGTCCGGATATGAAAACCAAATCCCCGATTATTTTTACCTTCCGTCCCGAAATTTTATTTGCTAGACCTGGCAACACTACTCCCCGCCGACACTAATGAAATTGTTAGTTTGTGATGAATTATGTTTACATTATGAAACAGAATAAAAGTTTATCAAATGATATATATTTTATACAATACATATTTTTCAATTAGAACATATACATATTATAATATACCTACTCAATAGGGTGAAAATGTAAAGCCGACTTCAATTTACTAAAAGAATAAAACAATTTCCACATATTAGCCTCCGATTTCTATACACTATATAAGCCATTATATGGAAATTATTTTTTTTATTATTTTAGTTCCAATATTATCAAAGACAGGTATATAATCAAAGATCAAAGTGATTCGTAGTCGTCGTTAGGCAACTATTATAGCCTCACGCTCGCACTGACACGCACACAGAGATAACATTGTAGTGTGCGTCAATATTACGCCGATCCAAAGCGATCGCGTAGATTTCGACTTGGACATATTTGAATATGCGCTCTTAAGAATCGAATATTGTACGTACCGATTTTTTGGTTGGCATACCTAGTCCAATAAGTCTGGCAGCTGTCAAAAGGTATTTCTTAGATTTGGTTGACTATAATAAGATTTAAGGAATAAATTGACGAAAAACGTGAGTGGTCTTTTATCACGGTAACGCCAGATCACAATCTTTGAGAGAGCTTGGTCGGGTAGTGTTAATGCATTCACAATATATTCTTTCTTTTCTTTTTAAAAAGAAAAGAAAGAATATAGTTCTGACCTTGCACACTCAGATTTTCACCTGTATCGGTCTCTTCAGAATTCTTTGGTTAGTGTAAGGTTAACATCAAGAGAGGACTGTCAAAACTAATTGTCGCATTTTTTGGATCACAAATTCCAATATTTCTACAGCAACGGGATTTTGTTACTACCTACAAGATAGAAAAAACAACTCAATCACACCAACAGACAGCTAAAGCACACCCTAGAGAAAGATCTTAACGACAGATTTCATAATTACCTCACCGGCCTGGATGCTACTGCTTCCTCGGACTACTCTTTATGGAAAGCCACCAGAAAACTAAAACGGCCTGTCAACGTCTCTCTTCTTATAAGAAAACCAGATGGTACCTGGGCGCGGACGGACCACGTCTTTACCCCTCACCCATGTGACGGACCACCAGAAGATGCAGCAGAAATTATTAACCACTTAAATAACCCAAAATACGCAGGAAGTGTCTCTTAAATTTACAAAAACAGAAGTTGTTCGAATTATTAGAAAATCAAACCCAAAAAAAGCCTCCAGGATACGACCTCATTACAAACCGTATATTACAAGAACTACCTGAATCTGGCATAACTTTCCTTACGTCACTATTTAATGCTATGAACAGACTGCAGTTTTTCCCCTGGAGTGAAGGTCACACAAATTGTAATGCTGCTGAAGCCAGAGAAACAACCTGAAGAAACAAAATCGCACAGGCCCATAAGTCTGCTACCCATCCCATCCAAAATATACGAATCCCTACTGCTACAACGAATCTTGCCTATACTCAAAGAGAAGGAGCTAATCCCTGAATACCAGTTTGGATTCCGCAGTAAGCATGCCACTATCGGCCAAGTGCACAGACTAACAAAATACATCATGGAGTCACTGGAAGGTAAATCTTAATGCGCCAGTGCGTTCCTGGACATATCTCAAGCGTTTGAACGTGTGTGGCATGAGGGATGTTATTCAAATTGAAAAATGCACTACCAGATCACCTTTACGGGATATTAAAATCATTTCTACAGCAGCGCCATTTCATAGTACAACAAGGGGAAGCACTGTCAGATCTCTGCCCTATAAAAGCAGGAGTCCCGCAGGGCAGCGTACTGGGTCCCATAGTCTACTTACTTTTCACTGCGGACCTGCCGACATCTGAATCCTTAGCACGTTGCCTGCCATATGGAAATCCGAATATATTTGCGTTTTTCATCAGTTGTTTAAATGACGTGAAACGACTTATTTATAAGATTTCTATACGTAATATATGTTTATATACATTTTTTGTATATTATGTGCTGTTTTTAGTCGGCCGGTCATTTACACCCGGCGCGGCGCAAATATAATTTTTTTTCATTGGAGACACGCCGGTCAAATCGCCGGTCATCCTTGTAAATCGCGTAAAAATTCCCGCCAAAACCATCCTGCGCCCGAGAGAGCGCGCTACTGATGAGTGACGTATAAAGAAATATTAGGATAATGCATGCTGCGTCCCTTCCCCGCTGCCCCCGCATGACATTTCTTCAGAGTCCTGTGCGAATAATGTTTTTGTAATTGAAGGTAAACAACTCAGTGCAGTTTTATTTGTCATAGGTCGGATTGCGCGCTAAATGGTCACGTAATATTCTAGTTTATTGTTATTACTTTATATCAAAGCTATAATAAATGAACACGTTGTTTGACGAATTGGATCTAATTTTAGATGATTTTCGTGAAATAGATCATATTGAATCCCAATTTCGTGAGACGGAGAGTCATTCAAGTGATAATGAAGAGGTTATTCGGTTTCCAAATCGCCGTGCAAGGAAGCGCTGCATAGTACCATCTGATACTGAAGACGGAGAAGTCCTTGTACCCTCACCGTCAGTCTGGTTACACTCCAAATACGGAATGGCATGAACCACAAGGTAAACAACCTAAGATAATACCTTACACTGAAATATCTGGTATGAAGCCGATGCATTTCCGACACGCATTAGCTGGCGGTCAACCTGGTAATTTTTGTAATTTGATGGTACCAGAGGCTCTGTTAGAAGATATAGCTAGACAGACCAATATTTTTGCCGCGCAAGTTTTATCTAAAAGTCGATTATCGCGGCAATCCAGGCTACACTTGTGGAAGGACACTGATAAAACAGAAATCAAGAAGTTTTTTGATCTTATAATTTCGATGGGTTTGGTGAAATTACCAAAACTGACACTAAATTGGTCTAATAACCCAATGTACGCACAACCGTTCGCTAAAAATATTATAAGCCGCAACAGGTTTGTAATATTACTGAGGATGTTGCATTTTTCTAATAACGAGGAGGCTCGTGAAAATGATCGTTTATGGAAAATAAGCAATCTTCTAAGTACCTTGAATGCTAATTTTGCTTTCCACTATACACCTACCGTAAAACCCGCCAACTTTGGTTTTTAATTCTAACATTGGCCACTTGACAAAAATAACAAAAATTTGCTGTAGTAAAAAATATATCTCATATAGCAACATTTTACAACATATTGTGGAAAATAGAATATATTTCTGGCAATACCAATCATATGTTCGGTTACTAAGTTCACTCAGTTGGCTGTCAACAGTTGTCAAATAGGAGTCTCTGCCAGTGGTCCCAAATTGTTCCTCGAGTATAAAGCTTTTTCGCGCTTGAAAAATGATGCAAGTGAGTGGAATTTTTGATATGTTATTAAGTGAAATCTTGGTTTTAATATGGTATACATCTCAAATCAATATGAGTCCTCTATTAATCAGTAACTCAAATGGCCAATGTTACAATCACTTGTAGCAAACATGTGCCGTTAAGGCTGAGCGCAGATTGCAGTCAAGTCAAGTTTAAGACAGACTATTGCTTTATAAAATATATGGAGATGGGCAAACTTCAAACAAAACGTCTCACAGCCAGAATTGTCTAATGCCTACAAGAACTGCTCGGCGACAAGTCTGACTAACGACTGTCGGCTTCCCTTTTGTATGTATGCGAGCGCGCACATCAACAACAAAACAGTCTGGCGACATAGTTATGGATACACTCCGTCCCTCTGTTTTAGATTAGAATATTAAAATATATAATATTGTATTATTTAGGCTAAGCAATAAAACTAACACTACGCACGAACAGGCTCTTTGAATATGATTCATTATTAAAGCCACCTCCAAATCGGTGAGACATAGTAATTTAATTGTATTTTAGTTTGTAAAAACTCCTTTCAATGTTTCCGAAATTTGACTACATACCCCCTCACTTCTAGTCTCGTCCGAGCGTTCAGAGAGTAAACACGTCGCATCACGTTTACGACGAAGAACTCGTAGAAAAACTAATTGACGAGGTTGAAAAGAGACCTGTACTTTTCAATAAATTATGTAAGGAATATTCTGATGTCAATAAAAAAAAAAACAAATGGGATGCACCAAATATTTAGGTACGTTTGCGTCGTTTTGCAAGTGCACGTGTAATTAGGATGCTTATTACAACAGTATCAGTGACGTCCATTTTGATACTGTAACGCAGACGGCACGTGGCGTGCGACGCGTCGTCGTAGACAATACAGTTTTGTTTTAAATGTGCGACGCATCGTAGACAAAAAAGTTTCGTTTTTATTTTAAAGCATACTTGTCTATGTGAGGCAAGACTGTCTTAAAACTGTCGTGACTGCAATCTGCGCTCAGCCTAACTTTGGTCACAGAAAAATAATACTAGGGCTGCCCACTGATAATTTTAGAATTCGGTACCTACCTACTCATGAGTTGATGGTACTTTTTGCTTATAACTTAGTTTTACAATTAGTTTTGGTATAATACCTAGAATACAGTTTAAAATATGTATATTTGCTTATTATTTATGTCCATATATATTTACAGAATGGATACATCTAAGCCAAAATCAAGAAAAAAAGCAAGAAAAACTCGCAGGTGCCTTGGTGCCCGGCAATATAAAAATTATTCAAATGAAATGCTTGAAATAGCTGTAGATCTTGTTAGAAAAAAACAGATATCAGCAAGAGAGGCGACGCGACAATTCACAATTCCTAAACAGGCAATATTAAATAAAGTAAACAAGTCTCATACAAAGTCTGTCGGATGTCCAACGCGATTATCTGATGGCGAAGAAGCCAAATTTATTAAAGTTTTAATTGCTGCTGGGGAATTCGGATGCCCACTTAGTAAATTGGATCTTCGCCTCGTCGTGTTTGAATACTTGAAAAAGAATGGCCGCGAGGATGTATTTAACGGAGGACCTCCTGGAAAAGCATGGCTTGATAATTTTTTGTCAAGACATTCATCAGATTTGTCAGTTCGTAGCACGCAGAATATTAAAAAAAATAGAGCTGAGAAAGGGGTTGATGAGTTCATGGAATATTTTAGAAATTTAGAAGAGACTTTGAAAGACGTTACTCCATCAAATATACTCAATTTTGACGAAACAAATTTAACAGATGATCCAGGATCTTCAAAATGTATATTTAGGCGATGAGTAAAATATCCCGAGCGAGTGCTCAATTCAACTAAAAGAGCCATTTCGCTGATGTTCTCAGTTACAGCGAACGGGAGCTTGCTACCTATTTACGTTTTCTATAAGGCAGAGAATTTATATTCTGAATGGATACAGGGCGGACCGCGTGGTACTAGGTATAACCGCACACGATCTGGGTGGTTTGATTCTTTTGTTTTTGAAGATTACTTTATTACAACTATTATGGATTGGGCAAAGTCTTTACCTGGTAAAAAGGTCATTATATGCGATAATTTATCAAGCCACTTAAATGTGAGTGTTATCGAATTATGCGAGTGTCACAATATTCAGTTTGTTTTCATTCCATCTAGCTCGACACACATAACACAACCCCTTGACGTCGCTTTTTTACACCACTTAAAAAAGTGTGACGAGCAATATTACTCAAGTACAAAATGGAAAATCCCAACCAAACTACTCTGAATAAGAATCATTTCCCAAAACTTTTACATTCTTTAGTTGATCAAGTTGAAATATATTCATCTAAAAATATGAAAAACGGATTCAGAGCAACGGGGATCCATCCATTCAACCCAAGAGAAGTACTGAAGCGTGTACCAGAGTATCAAGAAGATGTGGCATCATATGGGATTGACAATGCATTGCTAGACTACTTAAAGCAGATCAGGCAGCCAAATCCTATGATAACAAAAAGAAACAAGAAAGTTATGACTGTACCTGGAAAATCAGTAACAGTCGATGATTTACTGCTGACTTCCCAACTTTCAAAATCGAATGTACGAGGCAAAGTCAAGTCATCCAAGAATACTACGACACTCACGAAGGTAGATCCTGCTGCCTCACTCGCAAGTGTCTCACTCGAGAATTTTAATAAAAATTACAATTATGACATTAGTTATATTTTAAACGAAAAAACGGGTCTCACGGAAGCCACAAAAACACTGATTTAGTATTTGAAACTGAATTACCCGTGATTTCGATGAAAGAACAAGACAAGCCCAAAAAGATAAATATTCTATCCGACAGCATTTTACCAGAATATAAGACTGAGCCTATTGCAAAAACTAAAACTAAATACTTTAAAGAAATTGATACAAGCTTTAACATTTTATTACAAACTTTTCCTTCAGAACGCAATATTATCATAGAAAAACCACATACTGAAAATTCGGATGGTAAGGTAAGAAATATAGATAATAGTGCTTTTAATATTAACGTTCATGGTGTTTTAAGTAGTGACGATAATGAGGATATTAGGGATGTTGTGAGTTGTTCTGCAAATAGCAGAGAGAAGACTAGCAGTAAAAAAAGGAAGAAAAAACGTCGTTTGAGAAAAACTGTCAAAAAGGAAAACGTCAAACCAGTTAAGAGACCAAGAAAATCTCTAGATAGTTCTACAACTACTGAGGAAGATTGGATTAGCACCCATAGTGATTCTGACATAATTGAAGCACTTAGTGATGTCACAAATTTTGAAATAAGTATGGAAGAGTCTACAAATATTGATGAATCTATAAATATGGAAGAATCTATAAATATGGATAAACAAATAATAAAAGAAGATATACATCAAATTGACAAGAATTCAAAGAAAAAAGAGTATTAGGAATTAGGAGAAAAAGTGTTGGTAAGATACTATCAGTCAAATAAATGGAAGTACTATGTAGGATTATTTGAAAGTGTTAATGACAATTCAAAAACTTTTAATATATCTTATTACAAATGCATAAAAACAAAGGATTCGGATGATATTAAATTTATTAAACCTAAGCACTTGGATCGAGATATCGCCGTACCAGAAAGTAACATTGTTAAAATTATAGAACTTATACAATTCAATGAAAATCCTGAAGAATATGCATTAATGTGTGATAAGGATTCTGTGTACTTTTAAGAATTTGATATTATGTCTTGTGTTATCACAAAAAGTGTATTGCTGTATTTCTTTGGTATTTACTAGAATGTGTCATTTACACGCTCATTTCCTAAAGTTCCTAAAGTATGTTTTTCATTTATTATTTTTTGTTTTCAGTAGGTACCTAGGTTCTAAATAAACACTTTAAGCTTGGTGCCTATTGGTATATATATTTTTATTTATAAATTTGAGTTTTCTCTTTCACCTCATCGTGATGATTAAGTAGTCTTGAGATTACTAAATTGAAAAATGAATCTTTTTTTTAAGAATTTTGATCTCACAAATACGTGATAGTAATTTAAGTACTTACTCATAACCATTTAAATACTTGATATAATTTGATAGTCTATGTTGTTGTCTACTTGCTTAGTAAAAGTGCTATATTTTATATGCTAATATTGTACCTTTTACTTTTTCATTTATAATAAATCTCATATAATAAAATGCGATTGATTAAAAACATATTTTTTTAAACCAATATATAATAATTAAAAAAATTGACAACCCTGAGTCTAAAACTGTTTTATATGGAAATTTAAAAAAGTTTTGGGTATCTTTGGTCACCTCGCTGTAAGCCAAAATATTTAACTTTTTTGTGATTATTGCCTTTTATACGTCTTCTTTGGCCAGTTTCCTATCATAGTTCTTAAAGTAAACGGCATTGAGACTATAATTCAAAAGTTAAAAGCAGTGGCTAATGTTGAAAGAAAGCTTATGTAATTTTGGCCGACTAAAAAAATATATTTTTAGGTAAGAAACTGTCCTAATTTTCGCAATTTCCGTGAATTAACATCAACAGTTGAGGTTTCTGGTGTTAAACAAATATGAAAAACTAATACTTTACTAACAGTTTTTTGGATTTAAAGTTGATTAAGTGCAAAATGTGGCCAATGTTGGCAGGTTTTACGGTAATGAATATCTTTGTGTGGATGAGAGCATGATTCCATTTCGTGGTAGAGTAATCTTTAGACAATGTAATAAGCAAAAACGCCATAAATATGATATCAAACTATTTAAATTATGTACTGTTCCCGGATACACTTGGAAAATTGAGGTTTATTCTGGAAAACAACTCGATTCTGCTTTTTCTACACCGACAAATGTGGTGCTCAGACTGTGTGAGGATTTACTAGGAAAGGGCTATTCTGTATTTGTAGACAATTGGTACACAAGTTTGGATTTGGCAGAAAAGTTAACTGACAATGAGACACATCTTATTGGTACCTACTCTACGCAAAAACAGAAAGTACTTACAGAAATACGTGATGGAAGCCCAATTAAAGCCTGGTTTATTCTCTTTGGCCTACATGGAATGTTACTCGCGTGGACTTGAATTTAAAAATATCTTTAATACTATTTCATACTAAAATTAGTAAAACTGGATCACTTGTAGAGACACGTCGGTATCTATGTCTATATTGGCAATATTATAGGCTACAGAAACACATAAGTTCGTTTATCAGAATTGCATAAATATCATACATCAAGCAATACTTTTTTATATTGGTCTTCCGATGTGTCTTTATTTATAGAAAATTGTCCTGGAATCGGAAATGCATTATTTACATAATATTCATTATTAAAGTTGATATAGTCTTGATAAAATAAGGTTTAATTTCATGGTCTTTATTAATATTGGTCCCATTGAATATTGATTAGCACCACATGCCAGTATTTTTTTACGTTCGAGTAGACTTCAAAATTTCATAAATGTAGTTCTATTCACGGAGAACGTGTGAGAAGAACTAAATTCATGAACAGGAGTCTACATAAGATGGGCAGTAGCGTCTTCCTGGTCATAACTTAAAATATTAAAAATATGCAGTTGGCAACTCGCATGCCAAGCGTGGCTACTATGGCAAATATCCAACTTTATTAACTATTGGAAATCCAATTGATTAACGGGAGTAGAAATAATATATTAGACATGTAGAGGTGGCGAAAAAGGAACCACTATCCCATTTCTTCCTGTGGGTGTGTTGAGTGGCGACAGAGGGAAACTGAAACAGGAGATAGGTAGCATCATCTTGATAACAGCGCAAAGTAATAAAGCGCTGTGGTTGCCAACGCGCTTGCCAAGCATGAATACTACCGCAAATACCCGGCCTATTTGTCGTACAATGGGGGAAGCCTTTGATCAGCAGTGGAAAGCCCTATTAAAAAAAAAGTAGGAGCCTAAACACATCCCACTACTGAGCACAGGCCATAGCGATTTTTATGTCAAAAAGGAGTTGATTAGGTTGAATCCAACTCTGGATGACCGACTTCACATATACCAAATAATGATTACCACCTATACGAAAAAATGATTTCTGAAATATTTTTTTAACATCTCAGATATGCAGATTTCCTGCGATGTTTGTCTTCACCACCGAGAATGTGGTAAATCGAAAATTCAAATTGCAGTTAAAATATGAGTGAAGTCGGTGCGGATCTAATTTGAGTTGCTTATGTACCAACTATGAAATTTATGTTTAGATCGGTTTGAATACAGGCTTATATAGATGACTTTCAAGATTCTATCAGTGCAGTTCTACTCATTGTTAAAATAAAAATAAACCAGTGTCTAAAATTTGCTTTCTTTGATATTTATAGTACTATGTCATAAGAACCCATAGAGAATATAACCACTAGAGAGCGTGTAGGCAGATTTCTTCTAAGCGTACGACTCACTACTGCGGGCCGGGGGACGAGGAAGAACGCGTGGCTGCAAATGGTCAAGTTGCGTTGTTATGGCTATCGTTAGGGTTGCTCTTCTTAATAAAGGAAAATATTCGTTATCGATAAAATGGATTTTATCATTATGAAAAATACTCAATTAAAATCATATAAATAATATTTAATCAAAATCAATCAGTTAAACGAAAACATGTATTTATTATATTATTATTGATTTTTAAAATGAATAATTTTTTATATTTATTTCGAATTAAAGTTTAGGGGTCCTGATTGTTCTTTGTAAAAAAATATAAACAAGCGTTAAATTTGTAAATTATGCATCTTGCTAATTCAATTAAATGATTTGTTGATTCTATTACATATTGATGAAATATCCGGGAATCAATAATACCTAATCAGAGATTTAAAAACCGTTCTCATAAAATAATTGGTATTATATTTCGAAGACAGTACTTTTGAACCACTCTCATTGATCGCCCTATTATTAAAAATTTTACAACGACGACAAATATCTATTACTGTAGTGGATCCGTACAATGACTTGTCTTTAGTGTCTTTTTAAAATTGTAAGCCGTTCTGATTTGGTACACCAATCTAACTAATTTAACTAGTTAACTATAAACTTTAACTAAGAAAAAATACCGACAAACTGAGAACCTCCTCTTTTTTCTGAAGACGGTTAAAAGTAGATAAGTATTTTTTCACAGTGTGTGAATTGAATAATCTTAATAATTTTATTATTTTCGATATCGACTTTCAGCTATTAAAGGTAACAGTAAGTACTAATGTTTACGATAAACATACAAAGGGAAAGAAAGGGATAGAAGCATTAGAATTGTCTAATAATAGAACGAGACTTTTCCAAAAGACATCAACGCGCGACTCAATCATGTCGTTATTTACCCGGCCACCGTTTTAGATAGACCCCTGCGGTGGCTCATAATCTGAATTAATCAACAATAATTTTCATATTTTGTACTGTACTTAGCAATGAAAAGTTACTCCATTATTTTTGGACATCTGTCCTGGAATGTTTCCCACACCACTTCACTGCGCATGAAGGCATTTTGATGCATTATAATTGCATAAAAGTTATAAAAATTTGCATTAATTTAGCGTGCACACAGGTCTAACACTTGGACAATACTAAAATGGTTAATAGTACCATAGCCGATGCATAGGCGACAAAATACTAATAGTTTTCGAGCGTCGGGGCACTGTATGCGCCAGTCAAGTGGTTATATAGTCTTTGTAAGAACCTGTTCACACCTGTTGTGTGTCAACCTGTGTGTGAACCTGTGAACCTGAACTGTTTCATGTGAGCTATGCAACCAGGACTGTCACAAAAATTTTAATAGTTATGTCTGAAAATATGAAAGCTATCTTAATATATGACAAACCTCTTTTAAAAATCTCATTAAAAGTAAAAAAAGGCTGCATCAACCATATCATCAACTATTCCACCAATTATTGATATAAATCTCATAGTGCATTTAATTTTCAATTACTCATATCAGACTTGATACAAAAAGAAATCAATATTGGTGAAATACTGCTATATATAAATTTTGCTTATATATAAATATTGCTATACACACAACATATTCAACAAAAGAACTTCTCTCTTAATTTTGCTAAAATTGACAATTATGATAAAACATGCAGACAGTGGCCACAAGTCTATACCGGTCTGACAATTTTTGATAATAAAATTGTGTATTAAATATAATAGAATTGTGCTTAATTTGATCAGTTATGTACTTATTATTAGTTTATTTAGCAGTAAGTAGATGGCTCTATTATTATATTAAAACTATGACAACCAAAACTTTACCCTCTAGTACTCAGACTCAATAAGTTGGGAAAAGAAAGAACCCTTCTTTCTCTCTTCCCTTTCTCCCACCCCTTTCCACTCTTCCTTTCATCTTAGGGAAAAGGAAAACAAGACGAAGGAAATCCAAAGGGAGATCGAAGAGCGAAGGAAGGTAAAGAGAGCCTACGCCCCTGCCACG